TGTCATTAGTTTTGGAAATCTGAGTCTCTATATTCTTTTGGGAAAGAAAGCAAAGTAACATGTGTTCTGTATGTGGCAGTGGGAGATAAAGCATGAGCCTGGCTGGAGCAGGTGCTCAGAGGCCCAGGACGTCACATGCCTGAAGACACCGAGTTTCTTCCCTGATTAGTTGTGGTTTAGGCGCTCAGTCGTGTCCGATTCTTCGCAACCCAAAGGACTGTAGCCCGCCAGGCTCCTCTGTCCATGGGATTTTCCAGGCAGGAACACTGGAGTGGGTTGCCATTTCCTCCTCCATTCCTTACTGATAAAATGAAGCTATATCGAGACCACACCTGGCAGGTAAGCACCTATCCCATGTCTTACTGGCTTCCTGACACTACTCCATGAACTACAACATCATAAATGAGGAGCACTGATTTCTGAGAAAGCTGGGACCAGACCCCAGCTGAATGTGAACTGGGAGGTTTCCAGCAGAATGTCCACACTCCCCACTCTGCTCTCATGTGCTCAAGTCGACAGAGATGTCGTGAAAAGCTATGGTGCATATCAGATTTCCTCTGCAACTTTGAAGACTTCTTATCATAAAAAGATAAGCTAGGGCTTCCCTAGTGGCTCAGATTGTAAAGAGTCCACCTGCAATGCAGGAGACCCAGGTTTGATCCCTGGGTCGGGAAGATCCCCTGGAGAAGCAAATGGCGACCCACTCCAGTATTCTTGCCTGGAGAAAGCCAAGGACAGAGGAGCCTGGTGGGCTACAGTCCACAGGATCGCAAGGAGTCAAACTCTACTGAGCAACTAACATTTTCTTTTCATCATGAAAAGAAGAAACTGAATGTGAAACTATGGGAAGAGATAGCTGACGGGTCTATCCATGGCTTCTGAGATGTCCTCACACAGAAAGGACCTGAAGCCAAGTGTCTAGACTGTTAAGTGGAACAGAATCTCCAAAGTGCAGTGGGAGAGTTTTGAAATCTACCTTCACTTTGAATTCGAATTCCAATTGGTTTCACAGCCACCCAGTGCCTCAAGTTGCTTCAGTCATGTCTGACTCTTTGTAACTCCATGGACTGTAGCCCACCAGGCTCCTCTGTCTATGGGATTTTCTAGGCAAGAATACTGGAGTGGGTTGTCATTTCCTTTTCCAGGGATCTTCCTGACCCAGGGATTGAACCTGTGTCGCTTATGTCTCCTGCATTGGTAGATGGGTTCTTTACCACTAGCACCACTTGAGACTGACACTTTGAAGTTAAGGTAATAAACTCTATGAATGCTAATACTCTATGAATGCTGATACCTTCTAATTTTTGAGCTATTTTCCTTGGGAGGGGGGAGAAGGAGGCAGATACGAGAGGGATTGATACCGAAAACTACTTTAAAAATTTATTCTGGGGATGTTATTTGCTTTCTCTCTCAAGACCCGTTCTACTTTAAATCTCCACTGTGCACAGTGCTGGCCCCTTTGGACTGATTCTATTGCCCTTTAGAAGGGAGCCCACGACAGCACCCAAAGAACAATACTTCCAAATGCCAGATCACATTAATAAATATTCATCTAGAACATTACTCTCTTACAAAACCTCACCAGAGAACACTCGCCCCAAATATTACCTCCCCTGCAGCTCTTTCTCTATGATTTTATTCAGAAAGTTCTACAGATACAAGTCTCAAAACACACTATGGTCCCCTTTCAACCCAAACAGCTCTGCTTTTATTTGCTTTATCTATGATTCAGTCTGTCTCTGTACAAACAGTTCTGCACCTAAAAATAAAGGTAAAACCATTCTTCTAAAGAAATAGCGCATCTTTCAAAGTATGCAGGTAACAAGCCAACATAACATTATTTACCGTCTTTTAAAAGGATGGTTAATTTCCATTTAGACACATACACCAGATGATTATCAGTTACTAGTCAGAACAAACTCGTGACAGTACTGCTAAATCTGACATCCAGTGAGAAAGGAGATGGTAGGTGACAGACTTAAGCAAGAGAAATACAGAAAACTGTACTTTCCCCGATCACCAAAAAACACCAAACCACATCTGGTTTTCATACGAATGCTGCTGACCCAACAAACGTGATAGCAATTCTACAGTAACTGTGGATTTCATACACTGCGCTGCGCTCTTGTCTCAGCCATGTCCGACTCTTCCGCGATCCCATGGACTGCAGCCCGCCAGGCTCCTCTGTCCCTGGGGATTCTCTGGCCAAGAATACTAGAGTGGGTTGTCATGCCCTCCTCCAAAATCTTCCCGACCCAGAGAGTCAAACCCAGGTCTCCCGCATTGCAAGAGGATTCTTTACCGACTGGGTAACCAGGGAAGCCCTTTCATTAGCAGGTTACAAAATCAATTTAATGAGCTAGAGTCAGCATTGATCTAATAGAAAAATATCATGTTTTAATAATGAGTATTTTTTTATGAAACTAGCTTTAATTTTAAACACATACATACATATTGGATCTCACTGATAATTATGTTTACTAAGGGTTTGAAAATATTAATTCTATAGGATATCACTTTTTCGTCCTGAAAATTCCAGTTAAGAGATTAATATGTATAATTAACATTTTATTTAAGAATATATACATTTGCCTAAATACATTTGCTTTGTCCTGATGAGTCTTAATGTAAACAAAATGGAGCTAAAAGTCCAGGTGTTCTGCTTAAATGTGATTGAAAAGCGAAAGTGAAAGTCTTTCAGTCAAGTCCGACTCTGCGACCCTATGGACTATACAGTCCATAGAATTCTCGAGGCCAGAATACTGAGTGGGTAACCTTTCCCTTCTCCAGGGGATCTTCCCAACCCAGGGATTGAACCCAGGTCTCCAGCATTGCAGGTGGATTCTTTACCAGCTGAGCCACAAGGGAAGCCCAAGAATACTGGAATGGGTAGCCTATCCCTTCTCCAGCTGAGCTTCCCAACCTAGGAATCGAATTGGGTTCTTCTGAATTGCAGGCAGATTCTTTACCAACTGAGCTATCAGGGAAACCCTAAGTGTCATTAACTATTGATAATAATGTTGAGCATTAAGCTAAACCAGGGTCTGTCCTGACATTTTACATAAATTTTCTTTTGTATCTCTCAATGCAGCTATAAAGTACTAATTATTCTTCTAACTTTACTCAGGGAAGCAAGGCAACTTGCCCAGGGTCTCAAAGACAGGAAGTGGTAAGACTGGGATAAATCTTGTTATCCAGCTACAGAGAGGTTAGCTGAATTACTCTCCATGCAGTAAAAGTGAAAGTTAGTTGCACAGTTGTGTCCAGCTCTTTGTGATGCCATGGACTATAGCCTGCCAGGCTCCTCTGTCCATGGAATTCTCCAGGCAAGAATACTGGAGTGGGTTGCCACTTCCTTCTCCAAGGGATCTTCCTGACCTGAGGATCAAACCCGTGTCTCCTGCATTGCAGGCAGATTCTTTACCAACTGAGTCACTAGGGAAGCCCTTAAAATAGATGTTTCTGAGATTATCTCCTAGGAAATTATGTTCAGGAAGTCTTAGATGACATTACTGCATGCAGAGACTCCGAGCGTTCGAAAAATGCTAACATGGGCACCCCAGCAGCTGAAAGGATTTCACACGTCAGAGTGAACGTGTTTAGGAAGTGACTATACTTCAGGAGGCTTCTCAGGTGGCTCAGTGGGTAAAGAATCTGCCTGCAATGCAGGAGATGCAAGTTTGATCCCCGGGTCAGGAAGATTCCCCTGGAGGAGGAAATGGCAACCCACACCAGGATTCTTGCCTGGAGAATCCCATGGACAGAGGAGCCAGGTGGGCTACAGTCCATGGGGTCGCAAAGAGTCGGACACGACTGAAGCAACTTAGCAGCAGCAGCAGCATGCCCAAGCAGATTCTTTAGCAGCTCAAGACTCACTTGCTTTAAAAGTTTCATCATTCTGGTTGGTCAAAGGTCATGCTGGAAGAAGTAAGAGAACTTTACTCAGAATCCAAGCCTGACTGGTGTCAGGGTAGTGACGTGGACTACTATTTTAAAGGGAATCTAAGGATTTATATGGACTTCTCAGGTGGCTCTGAGAGTAAAGAATGTGCCTGCAAGGCAGGAGATACAGATTCGATCCCTGCATCAGGAAGATCTCCTGCAGGAGGAAATGTTAATCCACTGCATTATTCTTGCCTGGAGAAACTTATAGACAGAGGAGCCTGGGCGGCTACAGTTCATGGGGTTGCAGAGTTGGACACAACTGAAGTGACTAAGCATAGGATTTACATAATAGTAAGTTTCGCCATCCATCTCTCTCCTCCTAAAAAATCAGATCCACCTGCAGATAAGTAAGCAAAGACACATTCCAAATGTCTGACATACACCACACTCACAAAGTACAAAATCTGCTCTGTGCACAGAAGTGTAAGTGAAATTATATTCTATACTGTGGGGAGTCTGTTCTTTCGGAGAGTATTTCTGAGTAACTCCATGCTGCTGCTGCTGCTGCCAAGTCGCTTCAGTCATGTCCAACTCTGTGTGACCCCATAGACGGCAGCCACCAGGCTCCCCCGTCCCTGGGATTCTCCAGGCAAGAACACTGGAGTGGGTTGCCATTTCCTTCTCCAATGCATGAAAGTGAAAAGTGAAAGTGAAGTGACTCAGTCGTGTCTGACTCTTAGCAACTCCATGGACTGCAACCTACCAGGCTCCTCTGTCCATGGGATTCTCCAGGCAAGAGTACTAGAGTGGGTTGCCAGTGTCTTCTCCAGAGTAATTCCATGGGTACATACAAATGTGGTGTGACAATGGGGCAAGAGCATTTTCTTTTCCTATTTCCTTATAATGAAAAGTCACATGAAAGTCATATTAAATAGCATAATGAATGGTTAAAATTCTGTCAGGAAAACCTAGTATAAGACTTTTCCTAATTTCTGATTCTCAAAAGTTTTCAGAAACATTGCTGTGTATCACTTATGCCAACATTAAGATTCTCTTCCAAGGATATGCATGAAACACACATCAGCTTCATATTGTGGAAATGAGAGTTAACTTACCATTCCAATACATTTTCTGAGGATGCTCCAGATACTGAAGTCATTTCTGGAAAACATAGGGGAGGGCAGGCTTGTTCTGGAAAAAAAGAAAGGAAAAATAATTTAACTTCAATAGCACTGGCAGTAGGAAAAAAAAGCTACTGTCATTACCATGAAAGCCACAAGCATACATTAATATGCATCTAAAAATATGCATCGTGTGCAAATGCAACATGAAAGATACTAAATATCACTAGTCATTAGGGAAATGCAAATTAAAACCGCAATGAGATATCCCCTGATACCTGTAAGAGCATCACCCAAAAGATAAGGGATTACAAATGCTGACATAACTGTAGAGAAAAATGAAGGTTGTACACCATTGGAGGGACTGTAAACTGGTACAGCCACTGCAGAAAACAGTATGGAGGGTCCTGAAAATATTAAAATTGCACTCGCATAATATCCACCAATTCTACTTCTGGGAACATACTAAACACTAACTTGAAAAGATGTCTACATCCCCATGTTCATAACAGCATTATTTATGACAGCCAAGACATGGTAACAACTTGCGGGTCCCCTGACAGATGAACAGAACAAGATGTATTTCTCTCTCTGTCTCTCTCTCACACAGACACACATACCCACACACTCACAAAGAGGGGAATATTATTCAACCATAAAAAATGAGGAAACCCTACCATTTGCAACAAAATCAATGGACCTTGAAGGTATTATGCTAAGTGAAACAAGTCAGACAAATATTTCACAATCTCACTTACATGTGGAATCTAACAGTAATGACAAAAGCCACAAAAAACTCACAGAAAAAAGATCAGAGTTGTGGCTGGAGAGAAATGGAGAAAGGTGGTCAACATGCACAAACTTCCAATTATAAGATAAAGTACCATGGATGTAATGTACAACATGACTATAGGTAACACCGGGAGATACAATTAAGATACATTGTGAAGTTAAGAAAGTAGATTTTAGAGTTCTCAACACCAGGAGGAAAAAAAAAGTTCTCTTTTTCTTTTATCTATATGAGATGATGGATGACGACTAAACCTACTGTGGTAATCATGTCACAATACTGTGAAATGTAATATACATGTAACTCAAACCACCGTGCTGTACACCTTAACCTTGGTGAGGTATATCAATTATTTCTCAACAAAACTGGAAAAAATGTGCATCATCATAGAAAGGCTAAAACAGGGTCACTCTGGGCTTATATCCCTAGTCACTGCTATTTTGGGCCCTGAAAAAGTTTCAGAGCAGATCAACTGGCCCCACATCTTCAGAACTGTCCTGATCAGAATTCTCCTAACCCTCCTGTGTTGGTGTCCAGCTATTCAAACTACCTCAGAGGGACACTGTGCTTTCACAGGCTGGCATATCTGACCTGCTGTCTGGTCTAAGACAGACCTATCACATTCTGATACTCAATAAATTATTTTCCTTTAGCTATTAAATAATGGAAACAAAAATGCCATCAGAGAACCCAGTATCAGGTTGTTTTACGAAATTAAATAGCAAAATGCCAACTCCAAAGCCAAAGTAAAATTTAGGCTGTGCATCATGTATCAGTACTTTCCCAGAGATACCAATACTGAACCAAACTCAACCAATTCTGGATATACGGGAAGATCCTTTACAAATTAACCTCTAGAGAAGGAACATTCCCAAAGCCTCTGCAGGAGCTGAGAAGTTGCTGAGAGGAGGGTGGCTGTTGTCGGCAGAGTCTGCTATTCCGATGAGCAACACACCTGAGCTCAAGCATCCTGAGACCTCAGCACTACCAGGGGCAGGGGCGGGGGAGCCGGGAACAACTTCCTGAAACACCCTTATAATGACGCTTTCTTTTCCATTACCTTAGGTTATGGCCAAGGGTGCTGGTTTTCCAATGCTGTTTGAAACATACCCGTGTAACTAAAATACTAAAGAAAATTTGAGAGAATAGCATTGAGACATATACATTACCATGTGTAAAATAGATGACCAGTGAAAGTTCGATGTATGAAGCAGGGCACCCAAAGTTGGTGCTCTGGGAGGACCTAGAGGGATGGAGTCAGGAGGGAGGTGTGGGGGGGCGGGTTCAGGATGGAGGGGACACACGTATACTGCGGCTGATTCACGTTGATGTATGGCAAAAACCATCACTATATTGTAAAGTAATTATCCTCCAATTAAAATAAATTCAAAAAAGAGAAAAGAAAATATTAAAATTTTTACCTTCTATAGAATCTATATTCTATAAACTACTTCAAATTATAGAAGTTACTAAAATTTTAAGTTTTTAAATAAATAATATTTTAAGATCCTCCGTGGTAGAATCCTTCTGATTTTCCTTTTTTAGGAACATACACTGCTCATTTGGCAGATTTGTTATCTGCACAATCTGCTGGATAAGTGGCCACAGATGGTACTGAAATCACATTCTCTATACAACCTAAGACTATCAATCTTGATGACATGAACAATCGAATCCAGGGGTAGAATCTCTGCCATTACCTAGCATTTGCATGTATAATACAGTTTTTGAGATGCACATCAACTACATTTTTCATCTCTTGTCTATTAAAAAACAAAATCTATGTCTAGGAAGTTATGAGCCTAAAATAAGTTTTGTGAAAACTGAATAAGGGACTGTATCTTCCCCGGCAGATGCTTACATTAAATGTATGTATATACGTTACTATTCTAATTAAAGGCAAGAACAAAAAAAAAGACACATTTTGCAAGCAAGAAAGCAGGAGATAAGAGACATCCAAGCTTTACTTGGAGTAGAGGTTTAAGTATTTTACGAATGCGCTTTGGAAATTTATAAGGCCTTTTGGTACACATTATTCCTTTTATAAAGAATCTAGAGGTGGGGTAGGATGGGGTGGGAGGGGAGTTCAAGAGGGAGGGGACATGTGTATACCTATGGCTGATACATGTTGATGTATGGCAGAAATCAACACAATATTGTAAAGCAATTATTCTTCAATTAAGAACTGAATTAAAAGAATTTGGTTTATGTTGTGCTACTCAAGAGATCAGCACTAGGATCACTAGTGGAAGATACAGGACAGCTAAGGTAAATATAATATAAACCTAACGTTATACAAAGCTAACATAACAGCTATGAGCCTCCCTGGTGGCTAAGTGGTAAAGAATCCACCTGCCAATGCAGGGGACACAGGTTTGATCCCTGGGTTGGGAAGATTCCCTGGAGAAGGAAATGGCAACCCACTTCAGTACTCTTGCCTGGAGAATCCCATGGACAGAGGAGCCCGGTGGGCTACAGTCCATGGGGTCACAAAAGAGTCAGTCATAACTTAGGTACTAAATAACAACATAACAGCCAACATAAAACATAACCTGTCTTATAGTTAATTCCAAATAGGGGAGACAAGAGATCTCAACAAGGAAGGGCTTCAAACAGACACTGGAGGATCCCTTTCGGTCATGGCCCTGATAGGCATTCTTGTGCTAGGTGGGAAGTTGGTCTCCATCAGCTCATCCAGGGATGCTGCTAAACAACCCACATGGAACAAGACAGGTCACCACACCAAAAAATTATCCAGCTTCTAAAGAGCCTCTTGATGAAGGTCAAAGAGGAGAGTGAAAAAGCTGGCTTAAAGCTCAACATTCAGAAACCTAAGTTCATGACATCTGGTCCCATCACTTCATGGGAAATAGATGGGGAAACAGTGGCGTTGGATGTTTTTGGGGCTCCAAAATTACTGCAGATGGTGACTGAAGCCATGAAATTAAAAGATGCTTGCTCCTTGGAAGGAAAGTTATGACCAACCTAGATAGCATATTAAAAAGCAGAGACATTACTTTGCCAACAAAGGCCTGTCTTGTCAAGGCTATGGTTTTTCCAGTGGTCATGTATGGATGTGAGAGCTGGACCATAAAGAAAGCTGAGTGCCAAAGAATTGATGCTTTTGAACTGTGGTGTTGGAGAAGACTCTTGAGAGTCCCTTGGACTGCAAGGAGATCCAAACAGTCCATCCTAAAGGAGGTCAGTCCTGAGTGTTCACTGGAAGGACTGATGTTGAGGCTGAAACTCCAATACTTTGGCCACCTGGTGCGAAGAACTCACTCACTGGAAAAGACCCTGATGCTGGGAGGGATTGGGGGCAGGAGAAGAAGGGGACGACAGAGGATGAGATGGTTGGATGGCATCACTGACTCAGTGGACATGAGCTTGCGTAAACTCCGGGAGTTGGTGATGGACAGGGAGGCCTGGCGTGCTGCGGTTCACAGGGTCACAGAGTCGGACACGACTGAGTGACTGAACTGAACGGAATGTCAGCAGTGCCAAAGCGGAGGGACTTACCATAGAAATGGGGCTTTCGCAGTGGCTCAGATCGTAAAGGATTCGCCTGCAATGCAGGAGACCGGGTTCAATCCCTGGCAGGAAGATTCCCTAGAGAAGAGAATGACTACCCACTCCAGTATTCTTGCCTGGAGAACTCCATGGACAGAGCAACTTGGCGGGCTACGGTCCATGGGGTCGCAAAGAAGCTGGACACGACTGAGCAACTAACACATACTGTATACTGTATCACAGAAATATGAGAGTTTCACAGATAATTTTAAACTCTGTAGTGCCTTTAAAAAAAAAGCAACGAGAAATTAATTTTAATAATATATTTGATCTAACCCAATAGGGTCCAAAATATTAGCATTTCAAATGTAATCAATATAAAAATATTAGTGAGATATCTCATACTTATCCCCACACCACGTCTTCAAAATCCAGTGCTGATTTTACACTTAGAGCACATCTCAATTTAGCTACCACATTTTTAACAAAGTGAAATGTAGTCTTACCAAAGCAGTAATGTTGTTTAATGGCAAAATACTTTGTACTGCTTCACTTTTACAAACTATATTATGAAATTAACACAATAAAACCTATCCTTATTAAAATTAAATAAGTCTTTAGTCTTATTTAGTTTCTTGGTCACACTAGACACATTTCAAATGCTCAAAAATCACCTGTGTCTACTATTGGACATAATGGATTTCCATGATTACTTCTGAACACAAAAGGCTAGGATTGCTCTCAGATTGTAGAGAGGAACACAAAATTAC